GCGCATCAGCCAGTCATCTGAGTCATCTCAGTCAGTCGACCCGTGGCACTTGGGTCTGCCCCGTGACCTCCTGCCAGCGGGCGTTCGACACTTTACGTGGCCTCAAGGTGCACATAGCCTAGCACAAGCGTCGTGGTGACGTCACCGCCACTTAGTGGCGAATGCCGGTTGTTGTGTTAATGTGTTTGTGTGTTTGTATTGTGTGGAGCGGTGGGACAACGGTTAGCGCGCTGCGCTATGCACCCCGCAACCCGGGTTCTATTCCCGATTATCTGAACCGGTCATGGGCCTTCCCTAGGTCGACTCAGCCTCAAATGAGTACCTGGTGTGGTGTGTTAACATCGCCACTGGGGAGACAAAGGCGGCCGGGCGTGGGCTTGCCACCCACCCCCTCGTGTACCGTTCCGGCCTTCATAGGTGCTCGCTAACATCACTTGCCCCAACAGTCTGTTAAGGCTATACGGGGGATCTTTGTGTTTACATGTGTGTTTGTGTGTTCATGTGTTTATATGTTTGTGCGTGTGTGTTGTGTTTATGTGTGTGTGTGTATGTTCACGTGTGTGTGTGTAGTACCTCGCTTGGGGTTCTCTCCGGATCCATTCTATACCATGTGTGTCCAAACCACCGGAATCTTCACTCTTGAATCTTCTCTCTCAGCGTGAACTCTTTTTCTTCGTTTTGATTTAAAGCTTTCGTGACTGCAGTAATTCATATTCTTAGCTTTTTCGGTAAAGTCACGTTGAAGGGAAACAATAAAATAATAAAATATATATAAAACAACAAAAATTCTCACGACGTTTCGACCACAATGCAAACGGTTGTGGTCGAAACGTCGTGAGAATTTTTATTGTTTTATATATATTTTATTGTTTCCCTTCAACGTGACTTTACCGAAAGAGCTAAGAATATATATTTTTCTTCGTCTTTCTCTGATTGCTTCATTTCTTACTATCTCTAGTCTAGATCTAGGCGAGACACTCTCAATAATTCTTCTCGGCCAACTTTCCGTGCAGTCGCATTTTGTCTTCGTTGGATGTCCCCTTTCCTCAGCGCTCGGAGCCACACGTCAGGATTGGCACAGCCCTTGTTCTTCCGTACACTTGGACTTTCGACGTTGTGCAACGGTTAACGCCGCTGTTGTGCAAGTTTGCAGGGCATTATTACCACGCCCACCTTGAGTTACCAGCTAGCTGCTCGTCTAAGATGGCATTGATTTGTCTCTTAGATTCACCGTGTTAATTACTCTGCCCAGAGCATGTCAGAGACACCATGGAAAACGTTTCATCTGCGCGCGGTCGCACTGCCTCCCTTGGGTGACAGCTCATTAAAGAAAAGTAAAGTTTATTTGTTTTTTAACTGGAGCCTCCTTTATATTACTTTGCAATTAATAGTAAGTGCTATTGTGTCTTCAGCTGTTGGAAAATGGTAAATTAAATTAGTGACAGGTGGAACAAAGGAAAAAATCCTCCCCCCCCCACCCCCCACTTGTAAAACTCTTTAACACATTTAGCGGTTACTGAAGCAAGCAAGGTAATGGTGCCGCCCGGAAATGGCTTACTGACGCCACTGCTGGCTGAGGGACCTCCATGAGAGAGAGAGAGCTCTCGTTCATCTCACTTGACCCCACCGCACGCGGGGGCTTGCCGATTGACTCGCTGTGCTGGGCCCATGCCACGCCGCGGGTTGGATCGGGGCAGGAGGGGAGATTTAAAGAAACCCATTTTAACTGCCGCGCCGGCAGATCAGACCGTTGACCTCTGAATTGCAGGCCCAGCGTTCAATAATCGTCGCATCACGGCAGCGCCACCGAGTGGGAACTTTCCGTGAGGAGGAAACAGCCGGTTTAACACGCAGCAGGCTTTTGTGACCAATCTCATCCATAATACAGGGTTGTTTTTTTTGTTGTGTGGGTTTGATCGCGTAAATATAAAGTTGTCGTGAAACCCGCCACCACCCGACACAGCCAATTAGTAAGGTTTGTCACGTAAACGGAACATGCCGATTCGTTACTAGTACGGCACACCGGTGTGTTGGAGAGCAAATCCACAACATTTGCAATATGAGTGCAACGTTTGACCAGTAAAGCATGCAACAGTGTGCATTGTAGCCAGGGGGTGGCAGTGTTGAGTGCTACCCTTGGCATGCAGTGGGTTCTCTCAGTGTGCTCCGGTTTCCTCCCACAAGAAGCCAAACTCATTCACATGATATTGGCCAAACATCCCAATGCTGGACTCTGGGGCTCTTTGAGGCTATACTGCGTAAATAATAATTGTTGTGAATCACCCAGAGCTGTGACAAGTCATGCCAGATTTGTAATATCATTTACGAGCCTCTTGAAAAAACAAACACCAATGTATCACCTTCGGGTTTTTTTCTGGTATTATATTTGTGTGTCAACGCAAAGCTGTGATTTGACGTTTCTCTTCATTTTCGATATATCACACGAATATCCTCATAATGGCATTTGACAAAACCTGTTTAGTAACCTCAGCAGTATTACCGCATTCAAATTTATCTCAATCGTGGTGTTAGTCCTTATCGTATTGTCGATTAAAATGGATTCTTAAACTGTTGACGTGTACATAAAAGCGCACATGTTAAATTTAATCTCTTTCATGTTGTATGTGATTTGTTCACATCACTTTTGCAGCCACTCGAGGCACGGGCATCCCGCGATTTTATTCTAAATCAAATCATGGACCTTAAAATTGGACAAACCGTCACGTCGTTACCGATGTGCGAGCCCACCGTATTCTGTTCAAGATCACGTTACAAACGCACAAATGCTGCACCTTGAGAATAACAAGTTAAACCGTAAACCCATCTCCAGAACAGCACTGACTTTTGAGGGTAATTGGTGGTTGCCTAGCTGCAGTGGCTGCGATGTGTGTGCTTGTGGTTGCGGCTCTGCCTCCGAACGCCCGGGCCCAATCGCCCAAGTGGGTTGGGGAAATCACTTTTGGCGAGTAAGGCACCGGGTGAACGCACGGCGCCTGAATCTCTCGTGACAGGGCAGACCAGCCAAGGAACAATCCTTTATCTCGGCGAAGGGTAGCTTCTGCTGTGTGCACACATCTGTTACTAAGTACACTCGGCTTTCAAAAGCAATGCAGGTTGTTTAGCCCTCTTTGCGCACGCGCGTGTGTGTGCTTTGTTGTGGAGCGGGCAGCGGTGTCGTGGCTAATGCACTACGATAATAAAACCCCATCAGCCTGAGTTTCATTCCTGGACACGGCCTTCAGCAGTTGACGATTATCTGAACTGGTCCTGGGCTTCCACTCTAGGTCCTGGTGCGACGTTAGTTAGTTCATTTCTTTTTTGGAGCCAGCTGGCCAGGAATGGGCAAAACCTATCCCACTTTTCACCCAGGTGAGTGGGAAGCACAAACTGAGTGTTTCTAACCTAAAATTACCATTTGATAAAAATCACAATAAGAGACAAACAACGTATGTACAGGCATACTCCGGTTTATGCCCAGGATTCATTCCTGAAAAGCAAAACGTAAATCGAACGTACTTTTTCGCTGACCATCGCTGTGAAAAATAAGTGTGTTTTTTTTTAAATATATTTAGATATATTACCTCGTCTATTCCACTGTATGTAATAATAGTTGTTTATCATATAAGAAATGTTTTTAACCTGTATAAAAATAGTCGCCATGAATACAGTATGTGGGGAACAAAATTTGAAGAGAGAACACATCAACGAGACTTCGAGCCATTCAGGGTCGCTTGGGCGTCATGTGGCGCCTCAATGTTCGCCGTGCAACGTAAAAAAAAAACTGGAGCTGAATGGTAAAGTTCGTAAATCCCAAGTAAGTTATAGCGAGGTACGCAGTACGTGAATCAGGATGGAGTACACGAATCAAGAAGTTGTGTACGTTGTAGCGAAAGTACGTAAAGCGGGAGGGCGCAAATCGGCGTGTACTATTACAAAGAAAGGTTAAAATAACATTTCTTTAAAACTTAAAATCTACGTCCACATCGCCATCCACTGCAGGATGTTGTTTCTTATCTTTACTTTTTTTTGTATCTTGACAAGAGCCCGGTAAAGAGCACTTACGATTACAAAAAGGGAAAGTGGGGATGCAAAAAATTCAGCGGACAAAAACCCCCGAGGAGCGGTGCTCACGGGGCAGGGGATAGGGAGAAAGGAGGGCTCGCTACCCTACTCACGTTGGGATGACGATCGTGAGCGTGGAAATTTTTTTATTGTTTCTTATCTTTGGCAATTCCCATCAGGGCCACGGAATGGGGTGTCGAACAAGAGTTTACGGAGCGGCCTAATGGTGCCCGCACCCTGCCGACTTCACTTCCTGCTATCAGCCAGCCTCACTTTTTATTCTGCACCCGGAGGAATTTAAGACAGATTTAAGCCATCCTAGCTTAAAACAGCAGAGATGCAATCATCTGTGTTGATATGGGGGGGGGGGGGGGGGGGGCCCTCTGCGGATGTGAGACCAAATAATCCGTAAAAATATTGTTTGCGCAAATGATGTGTGCCAGGAATTATGGGAGGAAAGAGCCGCGCAATTCCACTCATCAGTGAAAATGTTGCGGGCTAAACAGGGAAGTGGGGAACGTGATCAGCGGTGAAATTAATCCAATATAATCTATTATACAGGTTTTTTATTTGGTTAGATCGTGTAAATATAAATGTCTTGTTAAACCCGCCACCACCCGACACAGCCAATTAGTAAGGTTTTGTCATGTAAACAGAACGTGCCAATTCGTTACTAGTACAGCACACTGGTGTGTTGCAGAGATTGTAAACGTTGTGGATTTACTCTCCAACACACCGGTGTGCTGTACTCGTCTTTTCTTTTTGTTTTCGCGACTCCTTTGCCTTTTGTTGCATCCGCGGCTCCACTCTCGTGTGCCATTTAAAACGCAGACGTTTCGCCTGCACACCTTCGCAAATTTCGCAAGACGCCAAAAAGTTAACGACTGCGCCGTTTGCGTTTGGCCACAATCTTCGCTCGTCCCGCGTGTCGACTGCAGTTGGAAGCCACGCTCAGCCTCGTGCGGCGGATCGAGAAGACCGGCGTATCCGCCATCGCCGTGCACGGCAGGTACGGCAGAAAGGGGGCCCCGGGCGCCGCCCAAGGGTGGTGGTGGTGGTGGCTGTTTCGCTCCGTCCCTTCCACCGACCGCCGAACCCATGGCGTCCCCGTAAACGGAAGTCGGCGGGGATATTGACAGATGGGAAAATGTCAAAACGCTCTTGGGACTATTGTTGAGCGCTACTTTTCTTGCGCCAATTACCGATTGTTTTCCGCAAGTGACGTTCGTCTCCGTGGCGATGAACGTTACGAGGACCATCGAGCGTGAACCTCTGGTTCCTAGTTTGGAAATGAGCACAGGAAGTGAACAGAGGGAAATAGCGGCCGGGTCAAAAAAAAAAACACATTGATTTTTCTGGCCTGTGCATGCTCAGTAATCATCGGGGTGAATGCTCGTTGCGCATTTCCTCAGGACCAAGGATGAGCGTCCCCGGCACGCAGTGCGCTGCGACGTGATAAAGGCCGTCAGCGAAGCCGTCTCCATCCCCGTTATCGCCAAGTGAGTGCCGCGATTCTCAAGCGCCGGACAAGAATGACACCCGCCGCCAACGTGAAATGTGAATACGCCTCATCGGGGGCGCTTGATTTCGGCGGCGGAATGTTTTTCGCCGGTTGCTAGAAGCCCCAGCGAGAGGTGGGCATCCTGCATTGTGGCATGTCGGTCCGGTTGTGGAAATATTCTCCGGTTCGCTGACCCGGAAGGGCCCCGTTAAAATGAAGCACAATAATACACGTCCACATCTGTTTAACAGGTAGGCCTTCGCCATATTGTTGGGTTGGATGGCGTGAAGATTTACACGGTCTAACCCAATGAGCATCTTTTATGGGCGTCCACATCTGTTTAACAGGTAGGCCTTCGCCATACTGTTGGGTTGGATGGCGTGAAGATTTACACGGTCTAACCCAATGAGCATCTTTTATGGGCGTCCACATCTGTTTAACAGGTAGGCCTTCGCCATATTGTTGGGTTGGATGGCGTGAAGATTTACACGGTCTAACCCAATGAGCATCTTTTATGGGCGTCCACATCTGTGGGTCTGCTGCGGTGCCGTGCGGTCGCCCTATAAGGAAGTTCACGCGGCTGTCAAATCTGCCCCGTCAAACAGTTTACAAGTAACATAATTTTTATTTTATTTTAATTTTATCATGTTTTATTTTTATTATTTTATTTCCATTCTACGTGACTTTACCGAAAGAACCAAGAAGATGAATCCCTGCAGTCCCGAAAGCTTTAAATCAAAATACAAGTAACTAGTTATTTTATTTTGTCCGCTGGATGCGCCCCCCTCTCCCCAACTTAGTTATTACAATTGTGCGTGCCAATTAGGTGCATAAATTTACATCGAATATCTGGTAGACCACAGCGCACCAACCCTGTAGCAAAGAGTGGCCCAAAGAGATGACATCACAAAACTTGTTATAAAATTACTGCGGCAAACCTCTGGCCACACTTGCGGCACACTTTTGACATTCCTCGTATAAAGAGTGTGCCATGGATTCCAATCAATTTTCTAATATTTAACTCTCGGAGGAGGGATATGTCAAATTGTTGGAAAACAACCATGATTTATTTGAAATACTTTTTTTGTGGCGTGTGCATTGGTGACCAAGTACAAGTATCTGCCCAAATTGAAACCCACAGTCTCAGCAGTTGCTGGCTCAAGTGCTCCGATTCGCACGGCCACCTGATTAGCTATGACATTTAAGGAATCTACACACGTGCGTGTGTTTCTAACCACTCGGTGACCCTTGGGTAGTAACAAATGGATGGAGGAAATGTTGAAAGAAATATTTTTTAAACATAACTATTGAAGCTAAGGAGAGAGAACATGGATTTTGGCTGGGCAGCTTATTAAAGGATTGATGTCCGTGCCAGGAAAGGAAGTTGCTTCTGAGGTCGAAACTTACCAGTTGATTTGCGATCACTCAGCTCAGAGAGAGTGGATCCAGCGGCGGCCACTGATTTAAGCGGACTTGTGTAAAGGGTAATTGACTCGTGACTCTGGATTGGCACACTCGTCTTCTGTCTCTCTACACCGATGGAGATGTGTTCGGCAAATGGTCAACTGAAGGGAAACATTTGCCTTTCTCTCAATAGCACTTGCTCGCAGCGTCATTGTCATCCCCCGTAGCCGTGCTCCGTGCACCGCTGGATGAAGACATTCCTACGCTGTCGCCGTCTATCATGGCAGCTACATTGTCAAAATTAATGTCGCGATGTCACGGTCCATGCTCGTATGGCTGGCTGGCTGGCTGGCTTCTGGAATGTGCATTATTCAACTCCCTGTGATTTATGTGATCAATTTTACATGTCGGTGATGGGAACCGTCAGGGCCTAGAGTTATTAAAATTAGTGTTGTCCCCTTTTTGGCACTGCCTCAACGCTCATTTGAGAGGTAACACTTTTACGTATTTGAGTCTACTGGCAGCAGCCGTGTGATTTTAGTCTACCGGCAGCAGCTGTGTGATTAGAATCTACAGGCAGCAGCTGTGTGGTTTTTTGTCTACCAACAGCAGCTGTGTGATTTTACTCTTCTAGCAGCAGCTCTGTGTTTTTATTCTACCGGCAGCAGCTGTGTGATTATAATCTACTCACAGCAGCTATGTGATTTTATGCTTCTAACAGCAGCTGTGTGGTTTTAGTCTACTGACAGCAGCTGTGTGATTAGAATCTACTGACAGCAGCTGTGTGATTAGAATCTACTGACAGCAGCTGTGCGATTAGAATCTACTGACAGCAGCTGTGTGATTAGAATCTACGGACAGCAGCTGTGTGATTATAATCTACTGACAACAGCTGTGTGATTAGAATCTACTGGCAGCAGCTGTGTGATTAGAATCTGCTGACAACAGCTTTGTGATTAGAATCTACTGACAGCAGCTGCATGATTAGAATCTACTGACAGCAGCTGTGTGATTATAATCTATTGACAGCAGCTGTGTGATTATAATCTACGGACAGCAGCTATATGCTGATAGATGCCTCGGATGTGTGGTCTGATGCGATCGTTCTGCATGGCTGGCCACTGTTTTTCTTATGTCCGGCGGTGCAACGCCAGCCGCTGCATAACAGCGAGATGTTCTAATTAAATCTTGACTTAAAGCTCTCATGACTGCAAGAAATAATATTCTTTGAGTGTTTCGGTAAAGTCACGTAGATAGGTTCAAAGAAAATAACAAAAAACTGCGACGTTTCGATCGCAACACAAGCGTTGTGGCGACGACCGCTTGTGTCGCGATCGAAACGTCGTAGTTTTTTGTTATTTTCTTTGAACCTATCTACGTGACTTTACCGAAAGACCCGGAGAATATGAATGTTACACTTGTATATTAATATTGTGTATAGAGTCTTAAGGCTTATCGTAATAGTGTTCACGGACCTCTCTGTGTCTTGTAGTGCGCTGTTGGTTGCTATGGATGCCAGCGGTCAAGATGTTTTGCCATTGAAAATTAAAGCCGTAGGGGCCCTGCGATTGCTTGCTCACATCACTGCTGGCAGAAAGGCCGCCGCTGGAGCGAGTTCTAGATTGCCCCTCTAGAGAGTATGCGACCGGCTCTTCTCTGCTGCACAGGCATCTTTAAAGAGGCGGGAAGTACCCACCGCACGTGACCTGCCATTTTATTCTGCCGGGTTTAAGCAACCTGCATAATTTTGTTTTTACTGACATGCCGGAAGACTTGGATTTGCAAGCCCATCGTAGTCACCAACGCGCCACGGCAGCACCCTGGTGGTTACCTAGCGTGAGGATAAAAAGCCTCTTGCAAGAGTGTGCGGCTTCGCCCAGACGTGGCAGGGCTGAGTGCAACCCTCCGTGTGCGATGGGCTTTCTCGGCGTGCTCCCGTTTCCTCCCACAAGAAGCCAAACACCCATTAACCCTTTCTCGTTTGCGAGACGTCTGCAAGCTACAGGAGGGTGGTTGGCGTTCCCCGTTCACTGCCGAATCCCAGAAGGCGCGGGCGGCTCGGTGCCTGAAATTTCACGTAGAGAGGCGTAGTATCAGCGGCGTTGCTTTTAAAGACGTTGTTACTCACCGCGGAGAACCGTAGCGACACGGAAGCACTCTACGATGGATGGCGTCAAACTGCCGCACGCTCTCTCGCATGGCCTTGTGGGAGCCTCCGTACCGATGGAGTTATCTTATTTTACCTTTTCTTCCGGTTTCGTTCCAATGACGTACACGTACGTCATTGGAACGAAACCGTACGTCATCGGAACGGGAAAGGGTTCATGCTATTGACCGACCATCCCAATGCTGGAACTTTACGCAAACATAGTCTTGGAACTTGTTCAGGATATCCTGGGTAAATAATTGTTTTCGTAGTAAACATCCCAGAGCTGCGGAGCTTAACCTACCTATCGACTAACAGAAGAAAAGTGGCCTCTATAAAATGGTATAAAGAAAATTAAAGTAAAACGATCGAAAAACAGTATCAAATGTTAAGCGACGTGTACAATTTTTGTGCGCGTACATTTCATTACCCTTGTGTATATTTAAGATGCTTTCCTGGAAGCAAGTTTTTGTGGCACGATGTCCGTTGGGTATTCTGATGAGCCGCTCGGAGTGGGCTGCCGACCTGCTGTGAATTTACATTTTATTGAAGAGCTGCGCATAATTGAATCTGCCATCGCTGTGGAGATGGTGCTGCTGGTGTTGTACCAAGGCGACAGTCCACTTTCCATCCTGTCGTATTTTTTTCACGGGAACGCGCATTTGGCAGTTCTGTTGGGAATATTGCAGATCTCTCATTTTGGTATCTTGACATGCAAGTTTTCAAGTTTCAAGTTTCATTTATTAGGTAGAGCCCTGTGAGCCATGCTGCTCTTAAGTCGGGTGCAACCGCAACAAACAAAATATGAATCTACATTGCAGAAAACTATTACAACACAACCAGACCAAAATAAAGCTACAAAAACAATCTAACAACAGTAATCATAGGAACTGTGATTTTAAATTTAACAATAAACGATATACATAACACGTACGACAAAACCTGCAGCCATACATAGCTGGCAGAACGACACTCCCAGTGTATGTGTGAGTGAGTCAGCAGCAGCGTGAGTGAGTGTATGATGTGTGAGTCGGCGTATGATGTGCGAGTCAGCGTATGATGATTGAGTCAGTATTAGGTTGAGTGAGTGTATGATGTGTGAGTCAGCGCACGATGTGTTAGCGCATGATGAGCGAGTCAGTGTATGATGTGTGAGTGAGTCAGCGGCAGTGTGAGTGAGTGTATGATGTGCGAGTGAGCCAGCACACGATGAGTGAACCTGTGTATGATGAGTGAATGGGTCAGTGGTTGTGCGAGTGTATGATGTGTGAGTAAGCGCATGATGAGCGAGTCAGTGCATGATGTGTGAGTGAGTCAGTGCATGGTGTGAGTGAGTCAGTGCATGGTGTGAGTGAGTCAGTGCATGATGTGTGAGTGAGTCAGTGTATGATGTGTGAGTGAGTCAGTGTATGATGTCTGAGTGAGTCAGTGTATGGTGTGTGAGTGAG